AAAAAAAAAAAAAACCCAGCCGGCCTTAATTAAACAAAGAAAAAGCAGAATTGTCATTGCCGTGCCCACCACAAGCAAAAACAGAAAAAAGCTAATACATGCTTTAATGTACATGCAAATATAAAAAAGAGTAAAGAGAAAGAGAATATTGGGTAAAGAAATATATATATGTAAGCAAAAAGAAATCAGACAAAAGAGCATATAGTATAACTTTTTCATGCGAGATTTGATTTTGCAAGCTCTTTATAAATTTATTTTGAGTTTAACTTATACGCATCAATGGTGTAAACACTATCAAATAATTTTAACCTGGAATGATTCCATGTCTCTTACTTTTATTTTAAGACACACTTCACTCATCTCCCTTCTAAATCTTCGGACCTCCTTTTAACTATGAGAATATATTTTTTGACCAGAAATGGTATCAATAAATCATAATTTAGATAACGAACTGTTCTACTTGTATGTTAGATTCTTACTTCAGTTTTCATTTTTATTTTTATTTTTGTCTCTGTTTATTTGTTATATTTGGTCTTTCAAGAATCACTTATATCCATCAAGTTCCAAATCTCTTGGAGTGAGTACTTATTCCATCAATGTGTAATTGAAAAACTTCTTTGTTGTACTTAAGGAAGGGTGAATTTAATTTGTCCATTTTATCAAAAGAAATATGTTAAGATTGAGTGTGATCAATTGAAGACTCCATTAATGGAGCTTCTACAAGTGAACTGAAGAGAGCATGTGAAGAAGACGAATGAATCGTAATTTTTGGAAAAGAGAAAAAAACTGACTTCCATTTCTTCCTTTGTCCTGTATATATACATGTGTATGTAAAGACAAAAGTCTAACTAACTAACAGACTCTTCTAACTAATCTGTTCAGTCATTATTCTAACATACTGCATACATCAATTTCACATAATTAATTAAGACTAAAACTAATTAATCTCAACAAAATATATATGGAAATTCATCGATTATTTTAAACAAAAATAAAAATTGTTGTGCGTAGAGTCACCATAAAGAATGATGCTCTTTCTTTTTCCAAGAACGAAATTGTTGAATAATGGGGTGTCCAGACAACTTGTGTGAAATAGCTGAATGTTTAGGACCAGTGAGACTTTTGGTTAAGACGTCGGCTAATTGTTCACCCGATGGAATGTGATAAAGAGTCACAAGTTCCTCTTGAAGCTTATCTTGAACAAAATGACAATCCACCTCTATATGTTTAGTTCTCTCATGAAATACGGGGTTCTTTGCAATATGTATGGATGCCTGACTATCGCAAAAGACTGATATTGGTTGGGAAGATCCTTCACCCATCTCATGAAGTAAACGCTTGAGCCAAACTAACTCTCCAACCACTTTTCTTATTGCTCTGTATTCTGCCTCTGCTGAAGAAAGTGAGACAGTTGTTTGCTTCTTGGATTTCCAACTTACAGGACAGTTCCCCATGAGTATTATGTATCCACTTACTGATCTCCTGGAATCAGGGCAACAATAGGCAGTGATGGCATAGTCAGGTTCTTTGGACAAATAAATTCCTAATGTAGGATCATTCATCAAGTATCTCAGCACATGAAAAGCAGCTCTCAGATGAGGTTCTCTTGGTGTTTGTAAGAATTGACTGAGGTGTTGCACACTGAATGCAATATCTAGTCTGGTGTTTGTGAGAAAATTCAACTTCCCTACCAACCTCCTATAATATGTTGGGTCCTGCAATACAGTCCCTTCTTGTGACTTCAATTTTTCAACAGCATCAATGGGAGAAGATGTTGGACTATAATGGAGACAATCAAATTCCTTGATTAAGTCTGTAGTGAACTTTCTTTGTGTAATGAGCACACCATCCTGTTTGTAGAGAATTTCCAAGCCCAAAAAATAGTGTAGTTTTCCTAAATCCTTAATTTTGAACTGGTCATTTAGAAAGGATTTCAGAGATGTGATTTCAGCTAAGTTAGTTCATGTCAGTATTATATCATCAACATACACTGCTACAAAAACCTGCAGATGAACTGTCCCTTTTGTAGGACAAAGAATAGTCACTGGTGAAATGTGAATATCCTCTTGAGTATAGCGCTTCGGCCAGTTTCTCATACCATTGCCTGTTGGCCTGTTTCAATCCATATAAAGACTTGTTTAACTTGCAAACAAGTCCCTTTTCATTAACTTGAAGTCCTTTGGGAGATCCATATAAACTTCTTCATTTAGGTCTCCATGCAAAAATGCATTGTTCACATCTAGTTGGTATAAGTCCCAGTCCTTCTTGATTGCTAAACTGATCAAAGTTATCACAATAGTCATCTTAACTACTGGAGAAAATATTTCAGTATAGTCAATCCCAGCATGCTGAGTATATCCCTTCACCACAAGTTTAGCTTTGAACCTCTCAACTATTCCATCAGCCTTGTTCTTGATTTTGTAGACCCATTTGCAGCCAATTGCCCTCTTACTTGCACATAAATAAACTAAATCCCAGGTATTGTTAGCATGTAAGGCTTCAAACTCAAGAGTCATTGCTGACTGCCAAGCAGAGTTCATGACTGCCTCCTCATATGAGTTTGGTTCACTGTCATGACTGATGTTCCTAACTAGCTGCTGACTTTCTGGATTAAAACTAGTGAGTGAGACATGTTGTTAGGCAGTGGTATCATGGTGGTGATATGTGGATTGAGGTTGTAGGTTAGGTAAGGTCTATTTGTATTCATGAAGGTATCTTGGCACAAAATGAATTCTACTTGTCCTTCTAGGTTCAGGTGGAAGATGTGAATGGAAAGGGGTAGTTGTGACAGGTTGAGTTGAACAAGGGGTTTCTGAATGAGGTGAGGCATTGGTTGGTCCTGGTGAACATAGTGCTGAAATGGTCTCATCAAATAAGTTTCTTGTGGTATGTTGTATGTTGGCTACATCAACATTGTTGTTTGCGACATTTGTTGGGATGCTTTCATTTAAATCATGGGTATTATTCAAAGTGTTGCTTGAGGAATGAAACAAATTATTGTTATAATTGAGATGTCTCAGTACAGAACTAAACTTGGAATCAGGAAAAGTAAAAACAAAAGGAAAAACATTTTCATGAAACAATACATCCCTTGAAACATGTATCTGTTTGGTGGTCAGGTCTAGTACTTTGTAACCTTTTGTGTTGAAAGGATATCCAATGAAAACATGGGGAGTGGCTCGTGGTTCAAATTTATCCTTGTGATGTTTGAGGGTGCTTGGAAAACAAAGACATCCAAAAGATCTTAGAAGTGAATATGTAGGTTGTTTCTGGTATAGGATTTGAAAAGGAGTTTTGTTTTGGATGGCTGAAGAAGGCAGTCTATTAATTATATAAGTTGCAATTAAAATGCATTCTCCCCAATATCTCATGGGAAGTTTTGAATGATACAAAAGGCTTCTTGCAACTTCAAGTAGGTATTTGTGTTTTCTTTCTACCACACCATTTTGTTGTGGTGTGTAGGGATAAGTTCTTTGATGTATGATCCTTTTGGATTGCAAAAACATAGTGGTTTCTTTGTTGACAAACTCAAGACCATTGTCAGTTCTAATTGCCTTAATTTTGGTGTTAAACTGATTTTCTACCAAGGATGTAAATGCCTTTATGGACTGTAAAGCATTACTTTTGCAACTGATAGATTGAGTCCAAGTTGACCTGCTACAATCATCAACTATTGTGATGAAGTATTTATAGTTGTCATGGGTTGGTGTATGGTATGGCCCCCATAAATCTATGTGGAGGAGGTCAAAGGTTTTCGTTGAAAAATTGGTGGTGTTGGATGGGAATGACAATCTTGCCTGTCTGGCCATAGGACAAATAGTACACAAGAAAGTTGTTTTGGTGAGAACTTTACAGGTCATCGATAACACAAGTAATCAATACTATCTTCATGGGATGTACACAAAGAAAAAGAATTACATGGTGCAGAAATGACAGTGGAATTTGTATTACAACAGACATTTTTATTACTTGGATGGACATATTTTTCAGAAGGAGCAGAAAGATGTAATGCTTGTTTATGACAACAACTAGAAGACACACATGAAACAGTAGAGCAAAAAGAAAGATCATCTTTGTGACATTTTGAACACAGGAAATAAAGACCATTCCTTGCTTTACCAATCCTTTTCATTTGGCCATATCTGTTAATCCTTTGTCAATCTCATGGATCAAACTACAAATCAAATTCCAGTTCTAATTCAGGCTCCACAAGCCATTGATTTCAGTGACCTCTTATACATTCATCCATCGGAGAATGTCGGATCTACAATCACTCTGGTACCTTTTAATGGAACAGGATATAGATCCTGGAGGTGTAGTGTCCTTCGAGCCCTCTCTGTAAAAAATAAAGTGGGATTCATCAACAGAAAAGTTCAAAAACCAGATCCAAATTCATCCACATTTGCCCAATGGGAACGCTGCGATGATATGGTGACTTCATGGATACTCAATTCATTGTCAAAGGACTTAGCTGATAGCTTGCAGTATGTTAACAATGCGAAGGAATTGTGGGAGGAATTAGCCGATCGATACGACCAAACAAATGGTGCAAAGCTATTTCAGCTTCAACAAGAGATAAATGACCTCGTGCAAGGAAATTTGGATATCACAGGATACTACACCAGACTCAAACAACTTTGGGAAGAACTCTCTACTCTGGATGCTAACACTCAGTGTACTTGTCTGTGCAACTGTGGTGGTAAGATTAAAATGCACAAGGCAGAGAAAGATCGTAGGCTCATTCAATTCCTAATGGGACTAAACGAGGTGTACACTGTGATGCGAGGCAACATTCTAATGATGAATCCACTACCATATATGGCACATGCTTTCTCCATTCTAGTTCAAGAGGAAAAACAAAGAGAGGTCAAGCCATCCACTCGTATGAGTTTGGCTTCAACCTCTTTCAATGCTTCCACATCTCTTGTCGCTGCTTTTGGGAGTAACAATTTCAAGACAAACTACTCCCAAAATAGACACACAAACCAATTTCAAAACTACAACAGGAACAACACCTATCCAATTCCGGATGTTAACAAAACCAACTTGTTTTGTGACTATTGTAAGAAAATTGGTCATATAGAAGCAAAATGCTATAGAAAACATGGTTTTCCACCAAACTTCAAGTTCACTAAGGGCAGGAACTCAGGATCAGCAGCTATTGCACACTCGAACTGTGAGATGTAGACTGATCCAAGCCAATGAACTCAAGGGTTGACTCAATACCAGTATGATCACCTGGTGAAACTGCTCGAGAATACTCAGATATAAGGAACAAATGGGAGCACTAAGGAATCTGTGGGAAATATTATGGATGGAGCTGTGAACTTTGCAGGTATCATGGCTTATCACTCCTTTATTAATGAAATTGGTAATCTCTCATGTAGTTGTTCCAAACTTAGTGTTGAATCCTAGAATATAGACTCTGGGCCTTAAACCACATGACTTTTAATAAAACATTGCTCACAAACACCAGACCTCTACCTTACCCTTTCCTAATTACATTATCAAATGGCTATAGAGTGAAAGTGACAGAAATTGGAGATGCACATTTGAATTCAACACCGACTCTATTCAAAGTATTGTTTATACCCACTTTTAAATTCAATCTTATCTCAGTACATTGTTTAGCTTCTCATCTCAAAAATACAGTCAGTTTCAATGTTGTTTAATGTTTTATGCAGGGCCCTTCACTGAAGAGCCCTCTGGTGATTGGTAAAGCAAGGAATGGTCTTTATTTCCTGTGTTCAAAATGTCACAAAGATGATCCTTTTTTTTGCTCTACTGTTTCATAAGTGTCTTCTAGTTGTTGTCATATGCAGCCTCTGAATAAATAAGAATTACATCTTTCTGCTCCTTCTGTAAAATGTGTCCATCCAAGTAATAAAAAAGTCTGTTGTAATACAAATTCCCCTGTCATTTCTGCACCATGTAATTCTTTTTCTTTGTGTACATCCCATGAAGATGGTATCGATTACTTGTGGCACACCAGGCTAGGACATGTTCCTTTTGTTAAGATGAAAGGCATCCATACCATACCTGTAAAGTTTTCACCAAAACAACCCTTCTTGTGTACTATTTGTCCTATGGCCAGACATGTAAGATTGTCATTCCTATCCAACACCACCACTTTTTCAACCAAAACCTTTGACCTCCTCCACATAGATTTATGGGGGCCATACCATACACCAACCCATGACAACTATAAATACTTCATCACAATAGTTGATGATTGTAGCAGGTCAACTTGGACTCAATCGATCAGTTGCAAAAGTAATGCTTTACAGTCCATAAAGGCATTTACATCCTTGGTAGAAAATCAGTTTAACACCAAAATTAAGGCAATTAGAACTGACAATGGTCTTGAGTTTGTCAACAAAGAAACCACTATGTTTTTGCAATCCAAAAGGATCATACATCAAAGAACTTATCCCTACACACCACAACAAAATGGTGTGGTAGAAAGAAAACACAAATACCTACTTGAAGTTTTAAGAAGCCTTTTGTATCATTCAAAACTTCCCATGAGATATTGGGGAGAATGCATTTTAATTGCAACTTATATAATTAATAGACTGCCTTCTTCAGCCATCCAAAACAAAACTCCTTTTCAAATCCTATACCAGAAACAACCTACATATTCACTTCTAAGATCTTTTGGATGTCTTTGTTTTCCAAGCACCCTCAAACATCACAAGGATAAATTTGAACCACGAGCCACTCCATGTGTTTTCATTGGATATCCTTTCAACACAAAAGGCTACAAAGTACTAAATCTGGCCACCAAGCAGATACATGTTTCAAGGGATGTATTGTTTCATGAAAATGTTTTTCCTTTTGTTTTTACTTTTCCTGATTCCAAGTTTAGTTCTGTACTGAGACATCTCAATTATAACAATAATTTGTTTCATTCCTCAAGCAACACTTTGAATAATACCCATGATTTAAATGAAAGCATCCCAACAAATGTCGCAAACAACAATGTTGATGTAGCCAACATACAATATACCACAAGAAACTTGTTTGATGAGACCATTTCAACCCCATGTTCACCAGGACCAACCAATGCCTCACCTCATTCAGAAACCCCTTGTTCAACTCAACCTGTCACAACTACCCCTTTCCATTCACATCTTTCACCTGAACCTAGAAGGACAAGTAGAATTCATTCTGTGCCAAGATACTTTCATGAATACAATACACATTACCTAACCAACAACCTCAATCCCCATAGCACCACCATGATACCACTGCCCAACAACATGTCTCACTCACTAGTTTTAATCCAAAAAGTCAGCAGCTAGTTAGGAACATCAGTCATGACAATGAGCCAAACTCATATGAGGAGGCAGTCATGAACTCTGATTGGCAGTCAACAAGGACTCTTGAGTTTGAAGCCTTACATGCTAACAATACCTGGGATTTAGTTCATCTACCTGCATGTAAGACGGCAATTGGCTGCAAATGGGTCTACAAAATCAAGCACAAGGCTGATGGAACAGTTGAGAGGTTCAAAGCTAGACTTATGGTGAATGGATATACTCAGCAGGCTGGGATTTCTATACTGAAACATTTTCCCCAGTAGTTAAGATGACTACTGTGAGAACTTTGATCAGTTTAACAGTCAAGAAGGGCAAGGACCTATACCAACTAGATGTGAACAATGCATTTTTGCATGGAGACGTAAATGACGAAGCTTATATGGATCTCCCAAAAGGACTTCAAGTTAATGAAAAGGGACTTGTTTACAAGTTAAACAAGTCTTTATATAGATTGAAACAGACCAACAGGCAATGGAATGAGAAACTGGCAGAAGCACTATACTCAAGAGGATATTCACATTCCACCAGTGACTATTCTTTGTTCTACAAAAAGGACAGTTTATCTGTAGTTTTTTGTAGCAGTAGATGTTGATGATGTGTTTTCATTGGATATCCTTTCAACACAAAAGGCTACAAAGTACTAAATCTGGCCACCAAGCAGATACATGTTTCAAGGGATGTATTGTTTCATGAAAATGTTTTTCCTTTTGTTTTTACTTTTCCTGATTCCAAGTTTAGTTCTGTACTGAGACATCTCAATTATAACAATAATTTGTTTCATTCCTCAAGCAACACTTTGAATAATACCCATGATTTAAATGAAAGCATCCCAACAAATGTCGCAAACAACAATGTTGATGTAGCCAACATACAATATACCACAAGAAACTTGTTTGATGAGACCATTTCAACCCCATGTTCACCAGGACCAACCAATGCCTCACCTCATTCAGAAACCCCTTGTTCAACTCAACCTGTCACAACTACCCCTTTCCATTCACATCTTTCACCTGAACCTAGAAGGACAAGTAGAATTCATTCTGTGCCAAGATACTTTCATGAATACAATACACATTACCTAACCAACAACCTCAATCCCCATAGCACCACCATGATACCACTGCCCAACAACATGTCTCACTCACTAGTTTTAATCCAAAAAGTCAGCAGCTAGTTAGGAACATCAGTCATGACAATGAGCCAAACTCATATGAGGAGGCAGTCATGAACTCTGATTGGCAGTCAACAAGGACTCTTGAGTTTGAAGCCTTACATGCTAACAATACCTGGGATTTAGTTCATCTACCTGCATGTAAGACGGCAATTGGCTGCAAATGGGTCTACAAAATCAAGCACAAGGCTGATGGAACAGTTGAGAGGTTCAAAGCTAGACTTATGGTGAATGGATATACTCAGCAGGCTGGGATTTCTATACTGAAACATTTTCCCCAGTAGTTAAGATGACTACTGTGAGAACTTTGATCAGTTTAACAGTCAAGAAGGGCAAGGACCTATACCAACTAGATGTGAACAATGCATTTTTGCATGGAGACGTAAATGACGAAGCTTATATGGATCTCCCAAAAGGACTTCAAGTTAATGAAAAGGGACTTGTTTACAAGTTAAACAAGTCTTTATATAGATTGAAACAGACCAACAGGCAATGGAATGAGAAACTGGCAGAAGCACTATACTCAAGAGGATATTCACATTCCACCAGTGACTATTCTTTGTTCTACAAAAAGGACAGTTTATCTGTAGTTTTTTGTAGCAGTAGATGTTGATGATATAATACTAACAGGAACTAACTTAGCTGAAATCACATCTCTGAAATCCTTTCTAAATGACCAGTTCAAAATTAAGGATTTAGGAAAACTACACTATTTTTTGGGCTTGGAAATTCTCTACAAACAGAATGCTGTGCTCATTACACAAAGAAAGTTCACTACAGACTTAATCAAGGAATTTGATTGTCTCCATTATAGTCCAACATCTTCTCCCCTTGATGCTGTTGAAAAATTGAAGTCACAAGAAGGGACTGTATTGCAAGACCCAACATACTATAGGAGGTTGGTAGGGAAGTTGAATTTTCTCACAAATACCAGACTAGATATTGTATTCAGTGTGCAACACCACAGTCAATTCTTACATACACCAAGAGAACCTCATCTAAGAGCTATTTTTCATGTCCTGAGATACTTGATGAATGATCCTACACTAGGAATTTATTTGTCCAAAGAACCTGACTATGCCATCACTGCCTATTGTGATTCAGACTGGGTTGCTATTTTTCATGTCCTGAGATACTTGATGAAATCCAAGAACCCCGTATTTCATGAGAGAACTAAACATATATAGGTGGATTGTCATTTTGTTTGAGATAAGCTTTCAGAGGGACTTGTGACTCTTCATCACATTCCATCTGATGAACAATTAGCTGACGTCTTAACCAAAAGTCTCACTGGTCCTAAACATTCAGCTATTTTGCACAAGTTGTATGGAAGTATCTCCCTTCCAACTTAAGGGGGGGGGGGGGGTGTTGCGATTATTTAGTTGTAGTCTTAATTAATTATGTGAAATTGATGTATGCAGTTAGTTAGAATAATGACTGAACAAATTAGTTAGAAGAGTCTGTTAGTTAGTTAGACTTTTGTCTTTACGTACACATGTATATATACAGGACAAAGGAAGAAATAGAAGTATTGAGATTAATTAGTTTTAGTCTTAATTAATTATGTGAAATTGATATATGCAGTTAGTTAGAATAATGACTGAACAAATTAGTGAGAAGAGTTTGTTTGTTAGATAGACTTTTGTCTTTACATACACATGTAAATATACAGGACAAAGGAAGAAATGGAAGTT